CCGCCGGCCGAGAGTGAACTCGATGGAAGGAGGTATAACCCAAACAAAACCCAGGCCGATGAGTTCTCTGGAACCACGGATCTGACTCTCAATCAGGCACTCGAGCGAATCTCAATTACCTCGACCAACTAACGAAATTCCATAAACAACATGGAATGAATCTAAGCCGGTTCCCTAGCGTCGATAAGCGCCCTCTTGATCTCTACAAGCTTAAAAAGGCCGTCGATATTCGTGGTGGTTTTGATCAAGTTTGTAAACTGAAAAAGTGGGCCGAAATTGGTCGTGATTTGGGCTATAGCGGCAAAATCATGTCATCATTATCAACCTCGTTAAAAAATTCCTACCAACGTTGGCTTCACCCATACGAGGAATATCTCCGCGTCGCCAAACCTAGTGTCCAGCAGCAGCTGGAATTCGAAAACGGAGGACCATACACCCCGTCCCCCGGAAACTCTCCGGTAGCCAAAAGGCCACATACAAACAATCGTCGTTCATCCGAAGTAAGCAAAGTTTCTCCCGCGGCAAGGGTTTCTGCTACACTTGGTAGTTCCGTGAGAGACAGTGAAGGCAGAACGGACGGATCTTCGGCTCCGCTTGACTACCCCCAGGAACGACATATCACCATTTCGGGGTTTACAGCGGTCAATTCAAATACAAGCGGGTTTTCTGCAATTAATGCCTCTCCATCATTCGTTGCAGTGAACAGCTCAGCTCCTACTGTAAAACGAGAGATGGAGAATGGAACTCATCAAACAACCTTTGGAAACAATGCTTTGACATCTAAGGACACCCTGGAACGACACCAGCACGAAACTAGCAGTACGCCAACAGTCAACGGCCATGATTCACATCCGCTTAAACGTGCATTCAGCCAAGAAAGTTTGACGGGAAGTTCGCAAACCGATAACGCCGATGCTGATGGAGCAAACGGGCGACGCAGTAAACGGCTGAAGAAGGGTGCGTAAAAGGCCATTCCATTACCTGTCGCATGTGGATTTACAGAGCTAGGAGCCCTTCTTTGTACAAGGTAGCTCTCACATGTATCTTCTAGTTTTGCTAACGTCTAAATTCTAGATGGCGCGCCAACTGTTGTTGGATCGCATATGAGTTTACTTCGCCCAACACAAACACAAGGGCGAACAAAGAATGGAAACAGGAAAACCGGAGAAGTGAGTACTTATATCTTTTCCCCCTTTGGTTGGGTAGCGAGCTAATTAGTATATCCAGCGATGTGAAAATTGCGGCAAGAGTGATAATCGGCCAACTATCTTATCATGCGACGGATGCGAAAACGGTTATCACATTCACTGCCTTGACCCACCCCTGGATTCCGTCCCCGATTACGACTGGCATTGCCCCAAATGCCTGGTCGGAACTGGAGAATATGGCTTTGAGGAGGGTGGGATATATTCGCTGAAACAGTTCCAAGAGAAAGCGGATAATTTCAAGGAAAACTATTTTGCCCCAAGGATGCCCTTTGATCCCGTTCTCAATGCCCCTCGAAAGGAGACGGAAGATGACGTTGAGCGAGAGTTTTGGCGGCTTGTGGAAAGTTTGACAGAGACCGTTGAAGTTGAGTATGGTGCAGATATCCACTCGACAACCCATGGAAGCGGGTTTCCCACTGTTGAACGGAATCCTTTGGACCCTTATTCTGTTGACCCGTGGAATTTGAATGTCATGCCTTTGCACTCAGAGTCTCTCTTCCGGCACATTAAATCGGACGTCTCTGGCATGACTGTTCCCTGGGTGTATGTTGGCATGTGTTTCTCGACATTTTGCTGGCATAACGAAGACCATTACACATATTCAGCCAACTATCAACATTTCGGTGCTACGAAGACATGGTATGGCATTCCCGGTGAAGATGCTGAAGCTTTTGAGGAGGCTATGCGCCAAGCAGTCCCGGAACTGTTCGAAACTCAGCCGGATCTCTTATTCCAATTAGTCACGTTACTGCCACCGGATCAATTAAAGAAGGCAGGCGTCAACGTGTATGCTCTCGATCAGCGTGCCGGCCAATTCGTTATTACCTTTCCGCAAGCGTATCATGCCGGGTTTAACCATGGATTTAATTTCAATGAAGCTGTTAACTTCGCGCCATCCGACTGGGAACCACTAGGTCAAGCGGGCGTAGAGCGCCTGCAGGAATTCCGACGGCAGCCTTGCTTTTCACATGATGAGTTGCTCATTACGGCTGCAGCGAGGGATACATCTATCAAAACTGCTAAGTGGCTTGGTCCCGCGCTTCAACGTATGTGCAATCGAGAACTCGAGCAGCGTGCGGCCCTAATAGCTCGCCATCAGGAGCTTAGTCCCCATAAATGTAAAATTAGTGGTGGAGAGGAAGGATCAGAAGAGTGTACACTGAAATTCGTGGTTGAAGATACAGACCTTCCTGAAGAAGAGTATCAGTGCAGTTACTGTAAAGTATACAGTTATTTGACACAGTTCAAATGCCACAAAAAAGGGAAAACACTGTGCCTCACACATGCCGAGAGCTATGACTGCTGTGGAGAAGACGCCTCGCAGAAGTTACTTCGAAGTAACCATACCTTACGCTATCGAATGTCCGATGAGGCCTTGAAATCGTGCGTTCAGAAAGTGGAAAGCCGAGCTCGGATCCCGGAAGCCTGGGCTGAAAAGGTGGACAAAGTTCTCGCAGACGAACCGAAACCTTCGCTGAAAGCTTTGCATGCTTTACTTAGTGAGGGAGAGAAAATCCCATATTTCCTACCCGGCCTGCAGGATCTGAACTCGTTTGTTCAGCGTTGCGACAAATGGGTCGATGAGGCTAATAATTACATTACTCGTAAACAGCAGAATCGTCGCAAAAACGAAAAGGCATGGCGCAGAGGCAATTCGGCCAAGGCAGCCCAGCTGGAGGAGCGAGATCGTGAACTCCGCAAAGTGGAAAAGATCTATGCGCTCCTGGAAGAAGCGGATAACCTCTCCTTTGATTGCCCGCAGATCGTATCGCTTCGGGAAAAGGTCCAGGAAATTCAGAAATTCCAGAGTGATGCCCAAGCTATCCTTTGCAACCCCCACATTAGTTCGACACAGGAAGTCGAGGAGCTTGCAGAACTTGGCCGGAGCTTCAATGTTGACATACCCGAGGTAGACAAGCTCGAGGAAGCCCTAAGACAGATGAAATGGAATGATCAAGCCCGCCGGAAACGCGAGCAACTCCAAACTCTCGATGAGTGCCGAGAGTTCATTGAGCAAGGCGAGCAGCTAAGCTTGTCTGAGACAAACGAACATCTACTTTATTTCAAGGAGATGCTTCGCCTGGCAGAAACATGGGAGGCGAAAGCAAAAGAACTCATGTCAGTAGAAGTTGTGCACTACCAACAGTTAGAAGCACTTTCCTCACAGGCCGCTAAATTGCCTGTATCCCCCGAAACCCTTTCTGCTGTCGACGCAATCTTGACGAAGCAGCGTGAAGCGCAGCGACAGATCTCCGGGTTTTATGACAGCAGTCGGAATCCGGATTTCCGGAAACGGCCTCACTATAAAGATGTACGTGATCTTATGGAGTCTTTGACGGAACTAAATAGCAAGCCAAATGGAACCATAGACCTGGAAAAGGAGCAGAAACGCCATGAAGACTGGATGCGGAAAGGCAAGAAGCTGTTTGGCAAAGCCAACGCTCCATTGCACATCCTCAAGATGCACTTGCAATATGTTGAGAAGAAGAATTCGTATTGCTTCGATCTCGAGGATCGGTGCCGTCCACCTGTTGAACCGGCGTCACGAGAGGCAAGTCCCGATGCTGAGGCACATAATTGGACGGGCAGTAGGTCTAAGAAAAAGGATGTATTTTGTATCTGTCGACAACAAGAAGCTGGGTTGATGATTGAATGTGAACTTTGTCATGAGTGGTGAGTTTCGAAATAGCTTCGCAGAGGGGCTTTGTCCTTTTTTTTTTTTTTTTTTTTTTTTTTCCAATTACTAAGGGTATGTCAGGTACCACGGAAAATGCTTGAAAATTGCGAGAGGCAAGGTCAAAGAATTCGACAGCTATACTTGTCCCATTTGTGATTGGCGTGTCAAGATCCCCCGCGATGCGGCTCGCCCTAAATTAGAAGAGCTGCTTGATTGGCAGGCTGAAATTCCTGATCTCCCTTTCCAACCCGAAGAAGAACAAGTTTTGGAATCGATCATCGACCAAGCAACATCATTTCGGGAGTTCGTTCGACCACTCGTGCACTCCGCTGCCTGCATGACTGCTGAAGAGGTCCCGACACAGATTTTCTATCTCAGAAAAATGGAAGGAGCAGAAGTTCTTCTTGCCTTTGAAACCAATTATTTCCGCCAGGAAATCCATAAGTGGTCGCCTGTCGCACCTGAACCGCCTCCGATTCTTGAAGTATCGCTATCTACTCGCAAGCCACGACCTACTAAGCAACAAAAGATGATGGCCCAGCTTGGAGTTGAAAAACCTGAAGATCTTCCTCTTCACTTGCGCACCAAGCAGCATACGTTTTCCAGCAAACGGAAATCAACGGAATCCCAAACTTCAGGACGGCCGCCCCCTCTTCAACCGGCACCTGTCCTTCGCTCTAACACACCATCTGGTGACCCTCGATCGGTTTCCACGGGTAACGCACCGACTCCGACGACGACTACCATGGCAGCGGCAGGCCCAGCTTCCCAACATCCAACCGCATTCTCCTTCTCACAGCCGTTCCCAATACCAAACGATGCAAGTCCATCTTACGCTCCTACAACGTCGGCATACCTCCCGGCTGTAAACAATGTACACTCCCCCTCATTCGATCCCCCATCGCCATCCCATCACCAGGGTCTTGATCCATCTCTCTTCAGCCCTCCAAGCTTTAGCCGAAATAACCCCCTCCACCCTCAAACTTTGGGTAAAGACCATGACGACATGGGTGGTCCAATGGCTTTTACCAGCAGCCCACGCGGAGGAGATATGGAAGACATTTTTGCCGAGATGACGAACCAAGACACCGAACAAATAGGGGCCTTAGAGGTTAGCCATGCGAATGAAGCGCTGGAGGCACTTCGAAGTGCTAGCAACAGTGGCGCGCGGTGCCGTTCTACCTCCAGATCTGGCGATGATTTCGACGCGGAGAATGGGGACGGCACTATGGGTGATGAGGGTCAGGGTCGAGATGGCGAGGATACCTCCAACAATTGTCTTGCGGATGAATTCTTGACGTGATTTGATTACGATCGATCAACCCCGTTTCTTCTTACCTGCCGCGGTCCAAGTTCGTATATATTTATATTTATATATATATATATAAATTACTTTATTCTTGCTGTCTCAAGATCATGAATCCGTTCCGCCATCGCCCGATTCTTCTTTTCTTTGTTCAATGTTTTCGATTTCACGTGTACTTTTTATTTGCCCTCTGACCCTTAACGTGACTGTTTTTGTTGGTCTTCCCTTTTTTCCGTACTGTCCAAGTTATAACATCAACATTATTAACACATTACACGGGCGCCATGGATGGTTTAGTTATCATGGGGATTGTGGTGGGGTCTGCAAATGGGCAGGGGATTTATATCTGGGCGCTCTTTTACTCTACCTTGCTCTGCTTTGCTCTTGTTTCTTTCTTTTTCTTTTTTTTCCTACGCTATAACAATGTTAGTCCAGTGGTATTTTCTACCTTACGATCTCACTCCTGCTTTATTCAGTTACCTCTTTTACCCTCCCTTCTTATTTTTATTATATATTTATGATTCATTTATACACTCCTAATCAATCCTTCGCTCGTGGTTGCTCACTCCAACACGCTGCCCTCTTGTTTGTTTCATCATATATTTGCGTTGAGTTGCCGTTACACTTGGAAAAGGGTGGGGAGACATCCATCCGTGTCAAGCGCGCCTGCAGACTTTCCAAGGGACTCTCAACATGAATAAAGTCAACAAAGCGCAATTCTTCTGTCTGCTATCTAGGGAGAGTTAGAAACAGATTCACGCGCATTTTCCTTGCTCGTTCCTGTCTGGTCTTTGTTCTCTTTTATATTCCTCGTTTCAGCCGCTTTGCGTGTTCGTATTATTTACTCGATTGCCTGCGCTATCTGCCTCTGCCTGGCTGCGTCGTTTAATGTAAAGTAGATCCAAGATATGTTTTCACAAATTCCTTGCTGTTCTCCACGTTCCCACTCACTTTGCCCACTTTCCCACTTTGCCCACTATTCCCTGGTCGCTTGCTGGGTCAAAAGGGAGGTTCGAATCACAGACTCAATAACGGCACTTTCACACTCACTTCTTTTCAAAACGGACGAGTGGACAGGAAAGGGAAGAGCTGTGGTCAATCAAGACTTATGGCGGAGATGGCGAGATAAGAGTTCTATCCATTTATTCTTATTTTCAAATATTTTAAAGTAACTAATAATGGTAAGACGTAATCTATCACCAAGCAAGCCACTTCTCCACTATTCATATGTGTCTCAGTGGTAAAGCATTCTAGCAAAAAGAAAGACTTCTTTTAGCTTTTTAAGTATTTCATAAAGATGAAATTTCAGGCGTATAAGCTGTAGCAAAGTTATATCATATCTCTTATTTCACTCTCAGTGTATTAATAATTGTATAGATTATATTAACTAGTTATCTTAACCTATCTACTACCCTTTATTCAAAGATAAGAGTTCTGCTTCTATTTATATTTAAAGTTAGCGATGCGGAGTTAGCGAATACTGTGAAGCTTTAACAGGAACAATCTGAGGTGATATTATAACGTGACAACATACGGAGTGCCTCCCCTCACATTCGCAAAATTAGATTTTAAACCACACGGTAGCTACAGACACCAATCATCCATCAACATTGACAAGGAGCGTTTTGGTATTTTCCTGGCACGTTGGGTGACTCATTGTGCTGTGCTCAAAGATTAAGTAGAAATTTATTGCCTTGGTTGACCTACCGTTTTTTTGGTGGGGTAACTGGTGGTTTTTGGGCGTTGCAAGGTTTCCTCCCACTTGCACCTCAATTTTTGGATAAATGAATGACCACCTCGCGTTTTGGAAGCAAGTCACCAACGATCTCTGCGCCATATGCCTTGCTTGGTCTCTTTAGAACCATCTCGCAAACGACAGGAGCCTGACGACGACCTCGAACAACCACAACACCAATCGAAAAGGCTGAAGCTCGACGGGCCACCACCAGCATATTGGGATGTAATTTTAGCGGCATGCTGGTACTCATGCTGACACATCAGCTCAGTTCCCAGATCCTCGTATACCTTTTTATCAATCAATGAGCACAAGCAGTTCAGGCCGCCGGAAGCGACGTGCGGGGTCTGCTCCAGACGATAGCGACAATAAGACCACTACGAAGACTACAAGCACTACAGCCTATAATCGAAACTTTCAACAAAATCTGGTTGACCATGGTGTCTACCCCCCTGGATATAAATATCCCAATGGCCAGAAACCGGCAAAACCTAATAACTGGCTTGAGCTCAATGAACGACTGGTGCAACCCCGAGCTTCCCTCTCGCCCTCAAAGTTCTCCGAGCAAGAATTTGAAGAGTTTAGAGAGGCGGACATGAATGCATCCAAGGAGAAGCCTATAGTATGCTTGGCCATTCCGATTATCGAAGGCCATATCCATGATGTTAGGTGTATGGGAGGGGACTATCCATTTGGGAACTTTGCTCCTCTAACCGATGGCACACTGGCAAATGCAAAGCCAGACCACTTTTTTGGTGCTCGGCCTGAGCAGCTAAATCGTCAAAGCCGTGATGAGCTTAGCGACTTCATCGTTCCGTCGACGCAGAAAGACCATCCGATAGCTCCAAACTTCTTTCAAGAGGCTAAAGGTCCTGACGGGTCACCTGCTGTTGCTACACGGCAAGCTTGTTACCATGGTGCAATGGGGGCTCGAGGAATATATAAACTTCAGTCATACAAGCAGGATGAGCCTGCCTACGATAATAAGGCCTACACGATAACATCAACCTATCAAGCCGGTCAACTCAAGCTCTACACAACACATCCTACTGCCCCTCGAGAAAGCGATGGCCGCTCTGAATACATTATGACCCCGCTAAGATCATTTGCGATGACTGATAACCCAGATACTTTTTCGGAGCGGAGCATGCGCGTATCGAAATGTGCGGGATTGGGCAAAGGAACGGAGGGACGAGTTTATCAAATCTGCAAACAAGAGACACACACAAGTACGATCGGAACTCCTCTCTACATCCGAGCGTGAGGCAACCTCTGAGCCCACTATCATCCTGGAGGATTCTGATACTCAGCCACGCTTGATGAAGCCGAGTTCCACGATGCTGCACAATGGAGCTTCGCACACACAAATGACAGCGCTGAGGGTCCCCCGGCTTCGACCAAGCATACTAAAAGAGCAAGAATCGGAGCCAGCTCAATTAACCGTGCTGGCGGCAAGTCTCTCCAAAATTAAGCCGTCGGCCATTTGTACGTAGCCCCTGATAACACCAAGTAGCAATGAATTCCCTTTTTTATTTACGCTCATTCCTGGCGTTATTCTTATGCAAAATTATGTAGGGAAAGGGCGAGACCATCATAATCATCGTTAGAAAACTGTCGCATATATCGCATCTTCGTTGCCATTCAGTTGGCTTCCAGTCAAGAATATTAAGGAGTGTCTTTACGTTCTGCCGTACCGCAGTATTCGCAACGATTTAATGGAACTCAGAGAATGACGTTCTCCCAACTAATGCCTCCCCCCTTTATCTCAGCACCCCGCTTCTCTGGTGTCCGGGTTCCCTGTAATTAGCAAAGACATGTCCGCATAGCGGTTTATCGAGAATTCCGGTTTGGCAAATTGGCCGTTTTCACAAGGGTTTTGGAGATGGTGGGGATTCCAGGTACAATAAGTGTTCCAGGCTGCTGTCTGAAGACCCCCATGTCAGTTGTTGGGCGATAAAAACAGCTCATTTATGACCTATCACATCGTGGCACACAAGGCTCCTTCAAGTTGGCAAGTTCCTGAGTGAAAAGCGCCACTCAGATAATTCATTGTGGCATCTTGAAAGAAAAAGAGTCTTTGCTGAGTCTATGAAACTATAAAACCACAGCGCTTGTGCATTCTGTTTTATTGTTCTATTTTCTTTTCCTCCGTACCTATCCATATCAAGGGCAATGTCTATATCATTCTATATTTGATGGAGGGTCGACAGCAAACTTGATTTGCCCGGCATAATCAAACCCTGGTTAAGCACTTTCAGCTTAGTTACAGCAAATGATTGATGTACAGAACAGTTGAGTATGAGTGTGATTGTATTTCTCAATGAAAGCACTGGGTTGTGCGGCTCTTCAAAACAGTGTTAGACTTATAAGATGCTCCGCAGCTCTTCTCAAGAGCAGGAAAACTACTTATATATATACCATCTTTAATCATTCAAAATCCAGTTGCAGCCATGGCCAACAATCAGACTTTTTTAAATTATTTGATGATGGCACCTCCTGCTCTTCCTATCCAAAATACCAACAAGACACTCAATATGACAAATTCAAACTATAGTTGGGGGGATATCAACAGTGTTGATCAGTGGGTGGGATTCACATATGCTCATATCATGCAGTGCTATGGAACTCTGTTTCAGCAAGTATAAATTGAAAGTAGAACTCTGCTTCAGCAAGTATAAATTGAAAGTGAATCAATGTCAAACTCTCTCTCACAGTCTATAAACACTGAGTTAAATTCACTCTCTGTTTCAACATTTACATTCAAAATTAACTTGTGTTATGTGCTATGAGCTGGCTTTATACCCCTTTGCATCTCCAGCTTGCAAATCTGCATCTTAACTTCCTATTACAGTTGGATATCAGTGATGCAGCAACCTATCATTGACAACTATTGATCAAGATATTACGTTTTTTTCCAAGGTTAATATCTCACTGAATTTCTTATCAAATCACTGTTCTAAATGATCTAAAAATATCATGAAAGTGGGAATCTGAGTATAAAACATTTTTAATGCCAGCAAATTGCAAAAAGTATTTGCAAATTTTGTCTCAGATAAACTATTACATGAAATAATATCATGCACAGTACAGTTTTATCTTATCAGACATTGAATTGATATTGATTAAAAGGCTTAATGAGAATGGCAATCTATTAATTGCACAGATTATATCATGAAAAGCAAAAAAGTCTGAGTATTTGACTATTCTGCTGAGATTTTGATATTTTGAAATGTTAAACACAGCAGATAATGACTGGCAGATTTTATAACGTAATTCTTTTTATATGTATGCCTCAATGCAGACTAAAAAGTCATTTCTAATAATATTTTATATTAGACAGCAGTTTCTTTTTTTGATCTTCTTTCTATAAAACTTGTCAGTCTCTATTGAATCAGAAAAATAGAGAAATGTATTGTTTATGAAAACAAATAAATAGCTGTCTGAAGCTTTCAACAACTTCAGTTTCAAACTCAATTCAGTTATGTTCCTTCTTTTCAATGTATGTATCATTGGAATAAACAGTCACAACATCAAAATCAACTTATATAACCTTCTTCTGATCATTAGAAACAATGAGAATATTTTTTGAATAAAAATTATTATACTCAACAAGCCGCAATCGCTCGCTTGCGCTCGCTTATCCAGCTTGAAAACGCGCTGTTTAATCCCTCGGGTGAACGTAATAAAATATCCAACGGCTGCACGTGACTTGTATAGGTGAATTCCATGTAATCTACAGCTGTCAATAAAAAACAATCACATAGATCATGTTGCTGTCTGTACAGAGAATAGCCATTCTCTTTAACAGTTATAGCACTCTAAAAAGTCTTGAAAAAATGTTTCATATATCTGCCATTTTTGTGACAGAGGCTCGCCACGTCAGCATTATATGAATTATAAATCATGAATTTACAGATCAAATTATGAATTTACAAATCAATTCATTCAATTTGCTTGTATTCTCAGCAGTGCTTGACAGCTCTGCAGATATAATCTCATTAATTATTTCAAACTGTAAAAATCATTCAGAGTTCTCTAATCAGATGAACAGATACATATGAAGCAGTTTATATTTTTAATATTTAATTATTCATACTCTGATCAACATTAGTTCAAATAGCTGCTCAGATTTGAGAACATTAAAAAAATGAAAAACCTTCATTATAAAAATATATATAATCAAATCTGAGCAATCTGTTGCAGTTTGATTAAAGAGTAATTCATGAATAATCTTCTTTTACTCAGAATTAACTGTAAATGTAATGAAAAGAGTTAAGTGTTTATAATTGAAGATAATTGCTATAGAATTCTGAAACAGTTTATGTAAAAAACATTCACTGTTTATATGAGAAGTAGATAATATTATATAATAATCAAGCTGCTCACAATTCATATCATCTGTCTGTATAACATCACATAGATCATCATATTGATCAGTATAGATTTTTAATTGATGAGTATAAATTCAATTTAACTATTATTCATCAATGTTGATATAGACATCAATTAAATACTGCTGAAACAGATATTCAATCTGAAAAAGAGAAGCATCAACACCATTTTATTAAAAAAGATGATATATATATCATATATATAGGGTTAGATTATAATTGTCACATTCATCTTCATTTTTAACAATATTATCAATATCATCATCAGAGCTGTTGCAGACAAATGAAAGGTTTGTAAACACATTTATATCAACATATCAACTGTGATCTTCAAAAAAAAAAAAGTAAAATGTAATGCAGTGAAAAATATAATGAATTGTGAGAGTTAATACATATGAAATTCAAATTAGCATTGAGTTGTTGTAGTGTTAGAAAAATGATATAGAAATAATGAGTGTTGTTGAAAATGTTTTGTATAATAATTACAATCTCTAAAACTATAACGGGCGTACATCGATTAACGATCTAGCACTATCCTAAATACAGATTACGAATTGATTAAGGAAAGAAAGAGAAAAGAGATTAGAAGGAAAGGTTGTACGAAGGGGGTTCTTATAGAAGGGAGATCGGGGCGGAAGAATATCAGAAGCCGCCCCGCAGTGGAGCACGGAGCGGAAAAACATTGAGGGTTACGCGGAAGAATCGTTAGAACTACGCGACTACGCGAGCGCGGAGCGTGAGGAACTACGCGGGCGCGGAGCGTGAGGCAGAAGGGGTTGGTTGCGTAAGTTAACCACTAACGGGTGCTAACTTGTCATAAAAACAATAAACAAATTCTCACAGCAGTGATCACTGTCTGTCTTCAATTGTACAACAGAGTTTAAATCAACACATACAGCAGAACTGTTTTATAATATCTCTCATGCAAATTGATAAAGCTGAATAAAAAAGTTAATCATAGAAATGTTAGCAGTCAACAATATAATAAAAAAATATAGAAAAGCAAATGAACAAACAATAAACAACACAATACAGATATGATTAAACATATTAGAATGTATGATAAAATTCACATTATTTACAATATCTGCATCAACTGTGGATTATGAATTCACATTTGTGTAAAACAGACATTTTCATCTGATTCAAACTCTAACAGTCTTTGCAGATGATAAAGTTCTCTTTGTATTTGAAATAATATTAAATCATCAATAATCAAGCAATCAAAATATGAATTCTATTTGTATTTAAAAAATGTAAATATCAAAGCAGAGTTGTAGTTCTGAATATATTTGTAAAAATATTTTATATCAGATGTATTATCATTAAACAATTTATATAACTCTGATGAAGATTCTTTAACAGATGACAGTCTCACAGCATCTCTTATACAATATGTGAAAAACATTGAAAGAGTTTTTAACAACTCATATACATATTCATTAATTCAACATTTAGCTCTGCAGACAGAGCAGTAAACATTCATTCAATCAAAATTAAATGATTGACAGCAATAAATGAAGAAATGAAAGCTGCAGAGAACAGATTAACAACTGTGAATGATTAAAAAATTAACAACTGATTTAAAGATAATTGAATTGATTTGAATGTTGAGATCATTGAAAGTCAGTTGATTCAGTAAATTCATATATATGTAATCAGTAAACTCATCTGCTGCAGGAACTGCAGCAGCAGCTATCAAATGACAATGTTTAATATCACAAATATATTTATAATTAAGATCTCAGCAATCAATGCAGTTCTTGAAAATATGAATAACAATGTGAAATAAATGAAACAGATGATTTTCACAGTATATATTATAATGTGATAATTTAACTCATTGTGAATCGAGCATAGAAGTAGCTACATCCCTCAATGATAGATAAGAGATTTGAATTGAATATGTTTTACATATACAATATTGAGTTTGACAGCATGTAGAGTATGTATGAAACAATACATTGAATTGAAACTGTTCAAATGCATTGAGAGGATGAGAATCCCCACACACTGAGCAAAGGCACATGAAATAAGTATATTAATAAACATATATAGATTGTAATGAATGTAGAGAAGAGTATAAAGAATGTAAATACAGTAGAAAACATCTGTAAAGAAAACAATGAAGATTAATATCAGAGCTGTACAGGCCGCAGAGCTAGTCATTCAATCCATTTATGAATTTGATGAGGTGCACATGATATCACATGAGGTCACATTACAGTATTTTTTTCACAGAAAAAGTTGGTTTTTCTATAATATAAAGAGAGATACAATATATGAGTGTATGAGGTTGAAATTGCACTTTTTTAATTGGTGTTCTTTAAACTACACTAACCACTAGTTATAAGTTAGCACATGACTAAGTGCGTGGTGAAATAACTACATACTTAAGTGTATCGCCAATAAATTAGGCCACTAGGGCAAAAGAGCTCGATCACCACCAGCGCCGTGGTGGTATGGAGGGTACGAATCACCCAATCCAATCCACCCAACAGTCAATGCTCCACGGATTACGACATGTCAGCACGGATAGGTCGAGTCGAAATCAAAATGCTTTGCTGAGATCCATATAATCGTACATTTCTAGTTAAATCGCTGCTTCATTTTCTCCCCCAATATTCTTCACCATGAGTGAGCCACGCACCGTCACAAGACGGTTAGATTTACTCCGTTTCCTCAAACAAGCACACGCTTTTCCCTACCATTATTCCCATTCTCACGACCTCCCACAAGTTCTACCTTCTTCATTATCTATAGCTCCAGTCAAATCTCCGGTATACGTCCTTGGTAACCCATCCGCGGACCTAGACTCCATCATTTCTGCAATCATATATTCATATTTTGCTACAAGAGCGGTGCCGGCCAGCCCTTCTACCATTGCCTCATCACCCGGAAGGCAAGGGAGTGGTATGGTTCTGCGTCAACATATACCTCTAATCAACTTACCAGATGTTCATGCCGGGCAAGAGTTGAAAAGGCTGAGGCCAGAGTTTTTCACGGCCTTGGGGCTAGCGGTAGGATGGGATGGAAGCAGAGCTACAGGTGATGGGTCTTTGGCGAAGAAAGGAACCGACGCGGTGGAGGCACTAGAAGGCAGTGTTTTGACTGTTGCGGATTTGAAGGAGAGGTTACTACTCTCAGCTCTGGGTAGTCCAGGTGATGCCTGTCGACGAAACGAAAACGAGGCAAGTGATAGAAGAGGGTACAACGAAGCTGGATCCAGGAGGAACAGCCATGCTGCAGACGAACAAACAAACCTAGATGTCATGATGGTGGATTGGAATGCGCTACCCAAACTCCCATCAAATGGAGGGAAGGGTGGCATTGAGGGACTTTCAGACGCGCTTCCGGGGCTCGGAATCTGTGTCGTCGGCTGCATAGATCATCATGATAATGAAAGTTTCGTGCCAAGAGAACCTGCTTCACATCCCCTTGATCCCTACTGTATACAAACGGGTGTTGGAAGTTGTATGTCTCTCGTGGTCCGCGAGTTGCGAGCCCAGGGTCTTTGGGCCGATAACGTTTCCTTCTTAGATCCCTGCGCCGCCTTGGACGAAGAGAGTCCCGCAGATGAGACCGCAATCTACGAAGCACAGGCGGCGAAGCTAGCCATGGCAGCAATTTTGATCGACACAGTTAACATGACGGCGAAAAGCAAAGTGTCCACCGTTGATACTGCGGCGGTTGCGTTCCTGGAAGCCAAGATACAGGCTGGCGTTGACGCACATTTACGAAGTAAATCTCAATCCTCTGCAGCTGGCGCGAGTTGGGATAGGCAGTCATTTTACGATGCAATCGCTCTCGCGAAGGAGAATAGCGTTGAGAACTTAACAGTTTTAGAGGCGCTGGGGAGGGATTATAAGGAGTGGACCGAGATTATTGACACAAAGACAGAACCGCCAGGCATAAACAACACTAAGGCAGTGAAATTGGGCATCTGCTCTATTGTCAAACCGCTCTCCTGGCTGATGGAGAAATGTGACCGGGAATCCAAAGATTTTGCTCCCAACGATACATTCTTCAAGTATCTCTCCTCCTTTCGCAGCTGAGAAGAACCTCGACCTGCTAGTCGTCATGACAGCGTTCAGGACGCCAGAGCCGAAAGACGTTTTCCGTCGTGAATTGCTGCTCTATGCTTTGAATCGCAAGTGCCTCAACGGTGTGGAGCGTTTCCATGCAGTCGCGGTGGAGAGTTGGGGCTAGAAGAGGGAATTTGGGACCGGGCATTTTACTTACCCTGTTTTCGGTGATAGAGACGGGTCGTATTTTCGTGTTTGGCGACAGATTGATGTGTCGAAGAGTAGGAAGCAGGTTGCACCGTTATTAAGGGAGACTCTACGTGGTGTTAGAGTCTAAGTCGAGAAAAAGAAGGAAGGGGAGTGTAACATCTGAATTGGAGAGCATGCTAGATCAAACGCCGTATGTGCTAAAATGGATAAATATTCGACATAATTCCCAATGCAGGAAACCGGATAAAATGGATATTCTGCATACCGTGGACAAATGTGGAAGCTACAAAGCAGTATACATAGGTTAAAAATTTTCTGTAGTTGGCTCTCCAATCCACTGGGCCTCAACGGATTCAGCAAATTAATACTTAAAACAGAATGTGTTACGAAAAGACAAAGTGAGACAATAACAACCGGAACAGTAAAGCATGCCCTGGAACTGGGAGGTCAATTGTTATACGCAGGTTAAGCCTGCAAAACTCGCGCTGACTGGACATCATATTCCTATCTATTATCCCAATTTGAGGATATAATTCTCCAAAGTGGACTAGTAGGAATGTGAAAGGTAGGAAACGGGGGAGTACGATACGGGAGCGAAAGAGTCTGAACAAACGATCTATGGGGAGGTAATCTAAAGTGCTCGTTATTCCGTCATGTTTTATTTTTTCTTGTTTCATTCCTGGAACCAAATCGCCAAATGAGCCCAGTAATTAATTAAGGAATAAGCCCCACAGGCAAAATATTTGTGATTACATGAAACAGGAATGCGAGAAAGCATCTCTGAAATGAATTAGGGTAAGTGTTGGCATCGACATTGGTAGCAAATGACGTGACATCCTTCTGAGCAGAAAAAAAGAAGACAAAGAAATCCATGCCAGGAAAGACTAATCAATGGATACAGAAATTACTTAGGATCAGCCCAAATCATAACATATGAAGAAGAGGATGAGAGATAAGAGGGCTGAACGAGGAATTAAACTCCAACAAACTTCGCTGGGCTGAGAAGAACAGCGCTCAGGCATCCATTAAAGGCCATCCAGGCCAAGTCAAGTAGGAGAAACAAGAGAAGATGAAAGGTAGAATAAAGCAAAAGGGCAGAGGGTTAGAAACACTCCCACTCCCCAAAGACACACCATCTTGCACTGCGATCAGCAAGTACTAGGCCTCTCCAAACGCCCCTCTCACCAACCTTAATCACTGTCTCCCACACGCTGCCGTCGGGTGAGCCATCACCCGTTAAATCTCCTCCACCACTGCTGGTACTGAGAACGTTCTCAGATTTGCGTGTCAACCTCAATATCCGCCCTGATGGTGCTTGTATAGCTAGCTTCGCTGGCTTGGAGGAGTGCTGTGACTGTTTGCTATTCGACGAGACGTTAGAGCTAGAGGCGGAAAAGGTTTGATTTATGTATGATGAGCCTGTTGACGCGTTTGAGCTTGCGACAACGGAAGATACCATGCTGAGCGCGCTGGCGGGGCGGGTGCATGGATTTGGGGAGATGCGACCACTACCCTCGCTGCAGTCAGGGGCGTTGGATGGCAGGGAAGACGGATGTTGACGGACTGCAAAGACGAAGGTGTTGTTTATTGCGAGTTTGGCGCATTGTGGTTGAATAACGTAGAGGTCATGGCGCTGAGCGTGAGGAGTGGGATGGCGGAGGATGAAGTCGTAGGTTGGGTTATCTCCCGTGTGGGTGATTGGGAGTGCAAATGCCAGGGGGTGGGGAATATCTTTGATAGAATGCATCAGTCCCTTCTTTCCAACATATACCTTTAAAACGCCCTGGCCCTCATCTCCAGGTAAGACAGCCTTTATGGTGAAGCGCTTCTGTCCTCCAATCCAGTCAGGCTGCGCAAGTGCACGCTTTTTGACAACTTCGCCACTTTCAAATAAGTCACCATCAGAGTCGCGGTCAAATGCAAGAGCTTCAACTTCTGCAACACATTCGACATCATGGGGTACGAACACACGAAGTTGGACAGCCTCAAGGCCATGAATACGGGTAAGGCTTGTGTCAAAGTTTGGGAATCGCAAATTGTTTTTAAAGAACGGGGGACAAGCACAGGGCAACGCAAGAAGAACATCGTGTGATACGGGTGGGCAGATATGTTGTTGCTCAGGGTTAATCGGAATGTGGGAATAGCAAATCTCCATGGGACGGGCTAGGAAATACCAGCTTTCAGCAACCTGCGAATTGAAACTCGAATACAAGTTTCTTCGAGGGTTGGTTGGACTTGCCAGGGAGCAATCCATGATCCGCCATTCACCATCTATCAGGACAGCATTCCACCAATGATTTGGATTGAAGAGGCGATCAAGATCCAGTTGTTCTCCGGGTGTTTTTAAATAGCCATTAACTACCTCGGCATGCATTCCAACGGCGGAACACATTTCTAGTACCAGATAAGAAACTTCCTTTGGGCAACCTCTTTTCATATGCAATACTCTTTTCAAGTCAACGTCCCCATCAATGTCATCATCCCATGCAATCTTTTCCGCAACCCAGGTAAATATGGCACGTAATCGCTGTCCATCGCTGCGATGCGGGCGACAGATATACCCTTGGGATAAACTGACTGGGTTGATCATCGCAGGCAGACTGCTTATGAACCGGACACTCTTGTCCACCAGCTGTAAATTCACAGCACCCCAGTTAGTCGGTTCTGCAATTGGTAAACCATCTATTCCCTCATCTCCCTCTGCACTCTCGTAGAGTTCCTCCACCGCGTATATCACAGGACAGTCGAGCATCTGGCACCTCTCTGCTCTCTCGATTAGTTCATGACGGCTTGGAGTGATACACCTGTTGACGTCCCGTCGCACCTGGACCCAATCCATGGATGCACCCAATCCCATGTCCCTTGCTGCACTTTTTCCTGAGTGAGGAGATGCATATGATGAGATTCCCACAGCTTTGCGACCCTTCGTCGGTGATACTGCTCCAACCGGGCTTGTGGCAATATTGGTTCTTGCGGTCGCAGCTCCCGTTTTAGCAGATTCAATAATCTTTTTCAGAAAGCCTGTCTTTTTTGACTTGGGTGTAGTCAGGCCGCCATACATGCTTGGGGCATCCTTACTGTACTCGTTCCATCCAATGGCAGAAGTTGCTCCTTGTCTAGAGGAATTATGGCTGGAGTGATATGAAATTCCGGTTAACGGTGTTCGAGGCCGCATTCCACTGTTAGAAGATTTATCAGAACCTATTAGTCCAGAGAGATGAAGGTTATCTATGGCGGTATCCTGTCTATTGGTACGCCGTGCGTAGCTTGCAGCGCTAGTTGCGCTAAATCCTGAAGTGCCACTTGCATTGCTTTGGACGCCACTAGAAGAATTTGTTGCGTCGGATTTCGTTGTAAATGTCCGCCCAAGAACGTCCTTGTTCAATTCGTAGGCAGATCTTCGAGTCCGTAATCGTGGCTTTTGGTAATCTTGATTTGAAGATGATTGCGGTCTGGAATGGGAGAGACCTTTTGGGTGAGGTATGGGCGGAAGGTCTTTACTGCTAGGGGGTATATGGAGCTCATAGGAAGATTTTCTACTCTGTGCATGCAATTGGCGGAGTCTGTTTTCCATTCTCTGGACATAATTATTGAGTTGAGGAGGGCCATCATTGTACTGGTTAGTAAAACCATCCTGATTTTTGTTCTCCTGCCGCTGGCCATCGCCACCGCTCAGTCCTAAAGAGGTTAGAGGGCGATGGATTGGATCAGGTGTGCCCTTGTTCGTGTGGGTTATCAAATGTTTCCGGCGACCATGGATGAAGGTGAAGAGACCGACGCATCTCTGCGGGCCGTTGTGATTTAGCCCCATATCTGCAATGAAGACATGACATCTTCCCATAGCATCCCTCACAGGAGATGGAGTGTGTCCATAAATAGCATTAGATTGTGAATTTGGAGAAGGAGTCCTTGCGATGGTAGGGTACGCATGATTCATATCATAAGGCGCAGGAACAGGTGATGGACTATTCCTTACTTGCTGCTTGTTTTTCACAGAAATTCGGTGAGGAGGCGGCAGCGGGGGAGGAGATCCGGTATCTCGTGGTGGCCCGGGAGAAAGTGCTCGAGGATGTGACTGGGAGAAAGTGTGATGATGTTGTATTGGTGAGGGAGACGCAGCACGCGGTATAGACCCATGATACTGTTCTGGTGCCGGAGAAACAGGACGGGGATGATGGGAGAAAGAACCACGATGTTGCATCGGCATTGCGGAAGTGGTATTCGGTGGAGGATTAGAAAAAGAATGGTGATGTCGTACCGGCAAAGGAGAAGCGACGCGAGGAGGGTGATGAGAGAAAGACCCACGATGGTGCATAGGAGATGGTGAGACTGCGCGAGCAGGATGCTGGGAGATAGAACCATGATGTTGAATAGGTGCAGGGGATATTTCACGAGAAGTCAGTCCAGCATGCTGACCAGGTGAGGGAGGTATGGCATGAGAGATGGATGGTCGATTTTGAACCGGGGAAGGAGAAAGAGAACGTGGAGAACGACGAGGAGATTGACGCGAAAGAGATCCGCGATGCTGGTTTGACGATGCAAGCGTGCCTGCTGAGTCTGTACTCGCTCTCCAAGTATTCCCTGAGGGCGAAACGATATGCCCAGTATTATTGCTACTGCTTTTTTTATTGGGGATGTTGCTATGCGTATCCTCATCATTCTGCCGCGTTTTCAGAGCTTCAGAAGGCCCTACACCTTCTTTGTAGCCTTGGAATGGTTTTCGAAAAACAGTCTTTCGTTTCCTGGGCGATGCTGCAGAATTGGAAGCTGATATCCGGCGTAAATCCATCGTAGAGCTTGCGGGCCCGCTATGGAGCGGGCTGACCGACCGGCTTCCCGGGACGAAGTCGTCCCCAAGTACCTTGACAAAGTTCGAGGGAAACACACCAACCATGCGTTTGTCTCGACGTAGACGGCCAGTCCACCAAGAGCCATCACCCGCATTCAAGCACTCGATCAGATCTCCTTCCACAAAACCCAAGTCTCTCTTTGTTTCTCCACCCCATGAGTATACAGCCTGACACCAGCAGGGGAATCGAGTGGGAAGAACTGGTGCTGCCGGAGCCATTGCTACAAAGAATTGGCGCGGAAGAGATGGTAATAGGATGAACTAGAGCGGTGGACAATTAGAGATACCATAAGAATGAGCATCAACAGAAGAGGTGGGATTTCAGATGAGACCAGTCCGCCGGGTGAACAGTACGACAAACAATGCGGCACGCTTACCTAGCAATGAGCGACAGGGATGTTGATAATGAGAGAATTGGAGGAGGCCGTTATGATGGAGGTTGTACATCCATTTTCAATTAATACCAGATGATTAGCAGCTCCATTAGACAAGCTGATATGCTGCGTGATGAGGAGAGTTGTGATGTGGGTTAATGTTATGATTGTCATGGTTGTTGAGTGCCTCGGCTCTGGGATGATGTGTTGCTTGTTTACGAATTGCCGTTTTGGCCAATAAAGAGGTCATCTAGTAGGGCTGAGGGTCCCCACGTGCATCCCAAAATGGAACAACTTGATAATCGACCTAGGAAAACATCGCAAAACGGAACAACAATGAAAGGTGGAGAGGCTATTAGCTAGATACTCTGCTGTTATGGGTTGCCAGTAGCCTCTCGCGCGTAGTCGATATGACCGGCCCAGATCGGGGAAGGTAGAACCGCCTTCGGGCTAGTGGCTGTTTGTTACTCTGAACGTAGATCACTGTTTTCATAGCCAACGTTAGGGGAAACAGCCAAACAATTGTCGTTCCACACGTCGGGCCTTTTCAGATTGCTCTCTAATGCCGTTGAGATCTAGGATACCTGTCTCGCAGATATAGCGATCGATATATTTTGCGGGGACCCACTCAAAGTACACGTTTGGAGCCTCCAATACTGTGCGCCATGAGGCCGGCTTCACGGTTCTGCCAGGATGCTGGTCCCATAGGCACTCCAGCTCTCGTACGTCATTCTCTTCCTCTCTATACGTATCCGTTGCTCCCGGCGTAGAAATTTTATCGAGATCAAATAATATGATGACAGACACCTTATCTGACAACATTTTCGCACAAAGAACAGCAGGTAAACTACCAGTCTTGTTGCTCACATTGCCATTGTCAGATATCCGATCAGCTCCCAGTAGAACAGCATCAACGTCTCTTGCTAGGATAGCAACAATAGAATCCGATGCGATCTCTACATGCAGCCGATTTGTGGCCCCGACGTCTCCTGCGCGGTGTACGAGCTCTTTGGCTAAGTCTACCCCTTCACAGACCGGCCGAGATTCCATGACCTTCAACTGAATATTCAAACCTCTATCGCCGCTCTCCTTGCTTTCCGTCTCCAACACCGTTGCCAACGCATTAACAACCGTTGCACTGGAGCTTAGGGTCAAGATCTTCACCACTCGTCTTTGATCCTGGACAGAACCTTTCTCATATAAAAACTGCCGTAACGCCACGGCAATGTGCGTCCGTGTGGCATCCTCATTCCTCTCCATCAAATAAGCATGCATCCTCTCAACACCCATCCTAATACATCGTTCTTGAGATTCAGCCTGCTCCCCCCCGTCACCATCCGCTCCGGACATCTTCCTATTCAATCAGCATGCCCCATATCGATCGCAGACCATCTCTTCATCCAGCCGTGCCAGTCCCAGCTTGCTCCTATCCAACACCTCGACAACTGCATTTGTAACCGCCGCATTCATACTCGGTCGCCTGTATTTAGAAAGGATCCACCCAGCTTTCCGACATGACTCCCACCAGGTTTCCACCGTTGAGTGAGGCGAACCATGCAAGTTACCCCCGTATGCGTGCGCGTCATCCTGCTTTATCTCCTCAATAAGTCTCTCCGCGGTAATTTATGCAATGCGCACCAATGAAAATACTGCTGTCGTAGTGAGGTCTTTGGCCCCGCTGATGTGGTCTGTCCTCAAACGCAATAAGCCATTCGAAATGGCATCCTTAGCCTCCGGGTACGCAGTTACTTCAAGCTTGTACGTAGGGGACGTGATGGGTGGGGTAGACAGATCAGTAATTACGATAGCGGGCGAGGCTGGCATGATTATTGACGGACGTGTTTGTGTTTGGATGATACCGTGTTGATATGAACACGCAACCGGAAATTAAAAGTAATAGACTACGATGTAATTTACTTCTTAGTAGGTTCTCCTTTTCATCAAAATATAGAGGCGGGACAAATAATTTTGTCATTGTTGGTTAGATGTATAGCCGGTTATAACGGTGTGGTGTTAAAATGGCCACCGAGGTCAAGAGGGGGACAAAAGTTTACCGGGCTCCAGTTGCCTATCCGGGTCATCCAAGTACCATAAGTCCGAGCTATTCAGGCAACTAAGTTTAAAGTTTGACTCCTTCTGACACCACTCGATTCCCTGGCTGGATTCAGGCCGAAAACTCAAGGGGTATAGAAACAAAGAGACACATGATTAGTGAAGAAATCCACC